TTAGATGATGTGCACTGTGTTTAGATGATGTGCACTGTGTTTAGATGATGTGCACTGTGTTTAGATGATGTGCACTGTGTTTAGTTGTGCACTATGTTTAAATGGTGTGCACTGTGTTTAGATGATGTGCATTGTGTTAGATAATGTGCACTGTGTTAGATGATGTGCACTGTGTTTAGATGGTGTGCACTGTGTTTAGATGGTGTGCACTGTGTTTAGATGGTGTGCACTGTGTTTAGATGATGTGCACTGTGTTAGATGATGTGCACTGTGTTAGATGATGTGCACTGTGTTTAGATGATGTGCACTGTGTTTAGATGATGTGCACTGTGTTTAGTTGTGCACTGCAGTCTTGCAAAGTCTGTGTAATGGTTGGTGGATTGTTGGTGATTAACTAGGCGAGCGTTTTGTGGATCAAAGTGGAAATTATCTTGGCTGTCTAAACTAGCCTGGGAATACAGTACCTTCTGGAAAATTACAGTATTACTAAACAGCAGCTTTCTGATCGCTTCAATAGGAGGCACTGTTTCACCTACTTTATCTCATTTAATTCTTAGAAAAGCTGTGAGCTGAGTGATGTCACTGCTGTTTTTCAAAGGGAACAACGCACCTGAGGTTCGTGTCACCCAGCCGTCAGGGATAGACACAGGTGTGACACTGGATCTCTGACTCCTAAGCCCAGGCTGTAAAAGCGCCACATTATTAATTTGTAAATTTCACCATATACTTGGCTAGTGAGAAACTGGGTTTTGAATTGTTCGGGTCCAGTTGGAAATTATTGAAAACTGCAGTTACTAATTAACATCAGCCAGTTGAGACTGCCCCTACCCCAATACTGCTCTGAATGCGGGGCATGAGCCTTCTACCAGAAACCTCCATTCTGACAACTAGAACCATGGCTTTTCTCCCTGTAAAATCAGTAAGATAACATACACAAGAGCCTGTCTGGTCTGTGCCTGGCCCAGAGTAGCCCCCATAAGATCCAGCTTTCCCCAGAAAACATTCTGATAAGCTTTATGCTGCTGGCTCCTAATCGAAAGTACTGGAAAAGCAGCTGAAGGGGACATTTAGAGAACAGATGAAGGGCTGTGAGCTGCTTTTTTGACTGGAAGTAATGATGTCTGACCTCGATGGGTAAGATGAGGCCTCTGGCTGTAGAGATTGCAGGTCCTCTCCCTTCTGGGTGAGCTCTGTCAGTTTGTGCCGTCACAGCCTCCTGGCCCCTTCTCACTGGGTCTTCCCCAGTCTACCCTCTGTCTCCCCCACCTGCCTGTCTGTCCATTTGTCTTTCCGCTTCTTGTCCTCTCTTCCTATGTGTGGCTCTCTTGTCCTGTTTTCTACCCCACACCTCTGGTGTCTGTCTCTTCTTGTCCCCAGTTTTTGATTCTTTCACCCTTTGTCTGTCTCTGTGATTCTGCATTTAAGTGTGCGCTCACGGGTCACCTTCCTTTAGAAAATGGTTGGAATGTATGTCCTTGTCATGGAGCAGCTGAGAGTTAGATGTTTCTCCAGTGAGATGCACTAGGGACAGGATTTTTAAAGCCAGCCTGTTTCCTCTAACAAATCATAACAGTTCCATGTTTTGCTTACACATTACATTTGAAAACAATGCATGTAACTTATATTTCTAGAGCTGTGGGACTGATCTTTAGCTTGATCTGTTGCATTTTGGAGTCACATTCTTGCTTTATTAGAACCCCGTGTTCTCCCCAAGTCCGAAACTTCAGGAAGCAAGGGGACAAGTCTGTAATCTAGACGGTCGTGCAATGTCATAGCAGCTTTGTGACTTCGACTCTGACTCTCCAGTATTGAGATATTTGAGCACCTTTCATTCCACTCTGTTAAGCTGGACAAGAATAAAACTGAGCACACACAAGGCGAGGTTGGCCCTACGAAGGTGACCTATTTCAAATAAAGCAACTTTGTGAAGTGACAGCTAATCATCAGAGTCACCTTTCTATCAGTTTCTTAGCTAGAGGGCCTAGAATGTGGCCCAGGGGCCTCTTAAATGGTCACATTGTTTATATGCATCTGTGTGGTGGGATACAGGCATTACATTTTCTGTATGTTTAATATAATATTAGTCCTGCCTTCAGAAAGGAGCAGCAGGTAGCAGAAAAGAGGGAGCTGTGCTCTGCTGGTGGGTGTGTCCCCCATGACCCCACCCAGTCATAGCAGAGCTCGGGCCACGTTAGCCCATCGGAGAGCATCTTACCCTGTGCTCGAAGTTTAGTTCACAGAGTATTTATTTAGAAGCCATAGAAGGCATAGATGGCTGATGGCTGCCCATGAGGGAGGCGCATTTGACTGTATTTTGTGCGAGATCTTCATCTGTATGTCAGGGGCTGTGGGAGAGGATGGGAAAACATGCAGCACAGTCCCACTCGCTGCCTCTCGGCCACTGAGCCTTCCAGTCCCGTCTAAGGCCGTCTGAATTACAGCTCAGGTGTGATGTCGAGGAGGGGCGGGGCCACAGGATGTGAAGTCCTACCGGTGACGGTGACAGTGGTTACAGGAATGAATGGGTCAAACAGGCAGTTTCTGTGGAGAAGCGGTCAGCTCACTGACTACCCCTGTGCTTAACGCTTAGAGTTTTAGTTCAGGGCGTGGAAAGCGAAACAGAAATGGGCCCATCAGGGCCTACCATGAACTAGTCACAGGAAAATGCATATGCAGCCAAGGAAGTCAATGTGGGAGAAAATAATTTTACTACTTTAGAATATTCAATTCAGAGCTAGAGAAAACTGCTTTTAAGCTATCTTGAGAAAGCGAAACACTCCTTTAAGTATGAATTTTTATTCTTTTATTAAAGGCAGTGAGCTCCCTCTGGTGGCTCTGTGGAAGATTTCAGTTTCAAGGAAAATAGCTTTTCATTGGCAATAGGAAACCATCTTTTACAATAAGAAAATATGTTGCACTGCTTTTCCTCCTAAAAGAAAGAGTGACTGGGAGAAGGGGGGGAAAGGGAGGGAGGAAGTTGCTCTGATGGAAACCCGATTGGTGATCAGGTCATGCTGTTTTGCAGCAGTGGCAGCATTTGCAGGGCCACAGGCCTCACTGCAGACACGGAGCGGAGAGTCCCCACGGCACCTGCTGTCCTGCGCAGGGCAGCCCTGCTGCTGGGTCCTGCCGCTACGGGTGTGAGTCTGTGTCCTTTCCTCCTGAGAGCGGAGCTAGCTAAGGGGACTCACAACTGTGAGGGAATGAAAGGCAGACATCTCATGTTTTCTGATTTTAAAAAATGACTTTTTACATCAAACTATTTCTTTTAAATAAAGTCTGATATAGGATATGGGTTTTAGCTGAATAGCTTAGGAATTGTTCAACAACTTATTTCCGCCATTGCTTTTCTCTCTCCAGCTACCTGTCTCGGGAAACCTGATTGACCTTTATGGAAATCAAGGACTGCCTCCCCCTGGCCTCACCGTCAGCAACTCCTGCCCAGCCAACCTCCCCAACATCAAAAGGGAGCTCACAGGTAAACACCTAGCAAATGGGCCGCTTACTAGGAATTTTCTGATCAGTAATCAGCAGTGACCTCCAGACTGTTGCCAGCTCACAGACATACTGTTTAAAATCCTTGCACAGTTGGAACATTGAGCAGTATTTTAAGATGGAGGACTTACACTTGAAAGTCCTGGGGTCCAGTGTTTCTTGAGGTGCGGGGAGTGTGGGCCGCCTTGGCCCGTGGCCCCCTCGCTCCGCGGCAGCCATCGTGCTGCGCCTGCTGCCTCTCGGGGCTGGGGCCGCAGGCAGCACTTGGTTTTGTAAAATGCTTCTGCCCAGCCTGGTGCCGACCCACTTCCCAAGCCCCGGGAGGCATCTGAGCATCCTGGCCTGAATTTCCTACAACAGACACTCAAGCCTGCAGTTGGGATGGGGAAGCATATATTTCTTACATCTTCAGGTGCCTGCTATTATTTTTGCCATATCAAGTACAAAAGATTTATTACACAGAGTGAAAATAAATTATAAAATGGAGCATTGGGTACTGTCTGTTATTGAGGCAAGTGTGCAATTACCTGTTCTGCTTAAGGCTTTGGGGAAGGCGCCGGCTGTGGCTGTGAGGAACCCTTAGACCTGGTGTGCAGTCCTGCGGCACCTCAGGGTCCTCCCCTCAGCCCCCGCTGTTCTTCTGCCCTGGCATCCTGTCGATTCGGGTGAACAGACTGAGAATATGGACTGTAGACTAGGCGCAGAAAATGTCTGTCCTATTCAAGGGTGTCTTTAAAAAATACTTCAGAAAATTGTGGCAGGAGAAAGAAACTTTTTTAAAAATCACTAATTTGGGTTAAAAAAGATAACCAATTAATTAATACATTAGAAACCATCAAAAGCCAACAAACTCGTAGGTACCCTACAGGAAAGAAAAATACCATGAAGTGTCGGAGAATATCGCTAAGTGAGATCTGGGTTAACTATGGCACAATGTTGCTAGAGCGACAGGATTAAATTCTCACTACTCGAGTGCAGAGTGGAGTCTGAATTACGTGTATGGTTGTTTCTTCAAAAACAAAAGAAAACAGGCGGGGGTGGGGAGTGGGACAAGTGGGTGAAGGGAGCACAAACTTATTAAATTTTTAAAAAGCAGATATAATGGACAATATACTTCTAGAGTCACCTACACCATAGAAAGTGGCTCATCCAAGCAGGACAAGGCAGAGAACCATGGGGTCGGGCTGGTAAGCTGGAAGCAAAACACAAAGGAGACAAAAAAATTAAGATACTGAGTGCAGGGTGCGAAATAAAAGCTGCCCGCCCCTCTTCCACGTGAGAACCCAGGGAATGCCCGGGACTGACCTCCCAACCGAGCTGATCCAGCTTCCGAATTACCACCTAAGTGTGCGCAGCTGGACACCTAGCGAGCGCCCACGCGCACCTCTGCCTCCGAGCGGGAGGTTTCCTCGCCAGGGTGTTGGAGGCGCCGCGGAAAGACCTGGACGTCCTGTTGCCGGAAGGAAGCCTGGCTCCTGGTGCGGGACTGGTAGCTCCTAGCTGCCC